GAAGATAATAAATTATGACATAGCTCTTTTAGAGCTTTATATTTTCATCTTTCACCCAATAAGAGAAACTCATGCATTGTAATAGTATTTTCAACCATCAATAAGGATAAGAAACCATAATACAACTCTTCTGAAGCCTTATATTTTTATCTTTCACCTAATGGGAGAAGCTCACGCATTATAATATTATTCTCAACTATTAATGGGGATAATAAATCATGATATATTTCTTATTGAGTCTTATATTTTCATCTTTCTCCCAATGAGAGAAATTCACATACTGTCAGAGGGTCAAATTTACAACATCTTTCTTAAGTCAAGATTAAGCAAACGTTTAGTGTTAGTTGAATCTAAAACTTCCAACTCTTCTAGAGTTTTGTTAGATGTAAGGTTTTGATGATAACAAACCAAGTATGTTCTGATTTAATATGCTGATCGATCACCTGATCGATCAAAAGGTAATCGATTAGGTATCAGATAATTTGTCCCGGTGTAATTTAAGGTTGGTACTAAGTTTGATCGATAAATTGATAGATAATTCAAATTTTATGTGTTGATCAATCATTGTTAACAGTGTTTGGTATAGAAGTCTGTAAAAAAATTATCGATCACTTGATTAATAATTAGATGATCAACCAACTGACAGATAAAGGGATATTATTCTGGTAAGAGATTATCGATCACTTGATCGATAAATAAATTATCAGTGACAAGACAGATAAATAGTAAAACCCTTCCACTTAAGTTATATTCTATTTCATTCACCATTTATCGATCACTTTATCAATCATAGATTTATTGATAACCTGATCAAACATTGCTTAATAACTTACTGGATTATCGATATATTTTTTTGTTAAAGGTTGTTGCCTGGTCCCTTAATTGATCACTTGATCGATCAGTGATTTATCGATCAAATGATCGATAATCACTATCTCACTGCACCTACTTTTTTTGTTTATGTTTTCGAACACCTAATTGATCATTTAATTATCGATGAAATGATCAATCATCTAAGCTTCTGAGTATTTTGTTTTCATATGACATGATCGATCAAGGTTTATTCCTGGACTTTTAACTAAGTTCTTTCAAACAATATTTTATCGATCACTTGATCGATCAATCTTTAATCGATCATCTACTCAAACTTTATACAATCTGTGTTTCCATCTTAAAATACTTTTTTGACTTTTTATCGATCAGTTTTTCTATCATTCATTTATCAATAAAGTATTCAATCATTGGTCTTTAGAAAACCATTATACTCTTACTTAGCTTTATCGATAATTTGATCGATCAAGCAATTTTTGATCAATTATTCGATCAATGTACAAATTCATTTCATGACAAACTTTTCACGATGATGTCAAAATCTCTCATATTTCTATTTTCAAGCTTTTTCCAGCCTTCCTGTTTATCGTAATTCTCTATTATAAGAGATTTAAAGCCATAAGTGATCTTAGACATTTTCCTGCTTAATCTTTCAAGGTCACTCTTTTTCATTTATCGATCACTTGATGGATCATTAATTAATCCATAACTTGATCGATAAATATTTACCTGTTTCAAATTCTTTCACTTTGTTTAATCGATAACATGATCGATCAACCAGTTATCGATCATGACTTCAATCAAGGATGTTCAGTTTATGTTTAAAGTACCTGATGATTGATTGATTCCATTTCCGAACACCACATGAATGTTTATTATTATCACTTGATCAGTTATCTTCATGAGTTTCATTCTGAAGGAAAAACTTATTAGTTTCAAGTATTGTTACAGAATACGAAGCTCAACGGATACTCAATAGATATTTAGTAGCCCTTAACCTACCGTGTCAGAAGCATTCATGGCGAATATCGTTGCAACTGGGAAAACATGCAACCGAAATTCCAACGGCTAGAAGCTCTTCAGTCTAACAGTTAATTAAACTTCTCCAACTATAAAAGGCACGAAGAGCATTGAATGAGTAATTGAATACGCAAGTTACCCTCTGCTAAAATATTTACTGTTGCATTCAATATTCTATTCTTTACCGAGCTTCAGTGTTTCATATTTATTTACTCTGTAAGAGAGACTGATACACCTTCTTTACTCACTTTCTGAGAGTAACTCAAGAATGTGGACTCTTAAGAGAGATTGTAACTTACGGGTAGTAAGAGGGAGTGATTGAAAAAATCAATTACTATACTGAGGTGCCAAGAGCCCGTTTAATCTTAGATCATAATGAAAATCTTAGAGGTGTTTTGAGGACTGGACGTAGGTCAAGTGGTTAAGACCGACCCAGTATAAATCTGATGTCTTTGCTCTACAATGAAATCCTTCTAACTCAAAGCTCTCTCTGTTTTTATTAATTTCACTATTTCAATACAGTTAAATTTTTTATAACTCACCCAATTTACCCTTTCTTGGGTGAGACTGTCACTAACAACTTTTAGTTAATATGTTATTTTCATTATTATATTTTTACCCACCTAAATAAAAAAAAATATCATATTCTATATTAACTAAAAAAATTTTGAGGAGATTGTGAAGAGAAATCCGTTATAATAAATAAAAGATAATCAATTTATTTTTGATATTTTCCCCCAAGAAAAAGATATCTCACAACAAAATCTTTTCATATCTTTTCTATTTTGTAGATAACATTAAATAAAATAAAAGATTTCGAGTGATAGGGTCTTTAACTATAAATTTTTCCAAAGTATAAGAGAAGGACTCAGAGATAGTGGGTGGAGTATTTAAGCCTAATTATATCCAAGAAAAACAGAATCTTTGATTGCTATTTTTGCTAGAATAAAATAAATAAATAAACAATGACCCTATTTAATAACATGAAATTAACATATATATATATATATATCAAATTGAATATCATAAACATATAAGAATAAGATTAAAAAAATTTAAACTTTTAATTAATAAAATGTAAAACATGACAATAAAATAATATGAAAAAGTAAATTTTTGCACCTTATGTGATGAATGTGAATCTCCACTGCAAAACCATGTTTATATGCTCGAGATATGGAATTAAGGTCTGATTTGGTACATTACCTAGAATATAGGAGTATCTTTCATTTAATTCAAGGTACCAAATACACTATATATGCCCTCTATATATAGGCATAGCTTTACATCTTTAACAGAATTTACAAATTACATAATAATATGAGATAATTGTAGAATATAGAGATAATGAGAGATATTATAGATAATAAGAGAAATTTGGACATTCACACGAATATTATTATATTCATAACATTGATATAATACAAATAGAAAATAATATATATAACATACATATTATTTTATTAAATTCTGTAGATAAAAATATTAATTATTAATAAATATTCACTAAAATAAGAAATTAAATTGAAATACATAATAATATAGTAAATTATATATTTTTTCATTTTAAATATTATATATATTTAATTTTATGTTAAGAGTTTCTTGCGATATGTGGCAGTAAAAGTTAGCAACAGATTAATTATAAAAATTTTCTATCGCTTATTGGTAACATTGGTTTCTTTTTAATTTTCTTCTCTAGCATTCTATCTCTTCATGTTCTCCGCTGTGCGACTCCCCCCGGGGGGGATTGAGTGAGGGTGAGGAAAAGAAGGATGATTTGTTTGGGTTTCTTTTATGACATTTGGTAAGCTATCCATCCTTGTTATTTTTTCAGTTTCTCCCCTTCGACTCTTGAGAGTTTGTAGATTTTAAAATTTTGGAGCTTCTAGCTAATTATTTTGCTATTTATTGAACTAACAAGGTTAGAAAAAGAATTTCTACTATTTAAATTTTTTTAATTAAATGATTGGTTTGAGAAAATTGAAGCTAGAATTTTGTTGAAAAATTATTATTTATGATAATGAGGATGTCAAATTTGAAAAAGAATTATTAATGGCTCAATATAAAGAAAGACATGAATGGATTATCGAAAAGAATTATTTTTAATAAAAATCCGTCGTTCACTTGAGGCTTTTAGAAGGCGTTGATTGAGGTGTGTTTTAGGTTGCAATATAGCACAATTTATCAGACACAAAATAATAGAGACTGAAAAAACTATCCAGACTTCTAAAAATATGTTGAGATCTTATACCATATAATTGAATTTTAAGGCATGTTCAAATACCTAATAGGAGAGTGTAATGGATGGGCTTAGCATTAAGGAGGACTTGGACCATGAGAATAGGACTATTCGACCTAATGCATATTTGAATTGGCCGAGCAAATGTTAAGTGTACTGAGAGAAAGAATTATCTCTAATAGGAAGATACTTATGTTTTAACAAAAACGATAGAGAGAGAGAGAGGTGTAATAGTTTATAATCACTTAATCGTGATTAATAAAATATGATATTCTTACAAAAATGGATCTAATTAGTAAAAAATCAGCTTGTAACCCATAAAATCGAGTTCGAATCCCGTTGCTGATGTGAAGATATTGTTAGTGGATGATCTGAAAGCTCTTTGAGTCTGTAGGCCTGTCCTACAACCCTGATGAGCCCCACAACCCAACTCACCAAAACTTTAAAACTTTAATGTGTATTAAAAAAAAAAATGAGACCACTTTCTATTTTTACTTTCTTTGGCTATTGTTTATCTTTCTTCTAATTGGTAATGCACCACAATTGATATATCAGAGTAATATATCAGTGTGATCGTTACAGAATGCAGGCAACCATAAATTAACCATTCACGATTTGTGAGGTAAAACGTGACACGATCTGATCTTTTGTTACCGAGAAATAATCTCATCAGACACGTTAACTAAACTATTTTCCTGAGAACTAAATTGATAAGGGTTCAATAGCCATTCGCCATCGGCAACATTCCAAGAAGAGATTCCCCATCTTGACAGAAAAACAATGGAACCCCTATTAAAAATATGACTATTAAAATACCACAAAAGTGTATATGATTACATTACAGAGTTTGTAACGATGAGAATCAGTAATTTATCAAAATATGACTATTAGAAATACCAGAGCTATCATATGAAACCTATGGAACCTACATTTGTATTGGATCAATTCCATCTTTACACTTCTCTTATCCGTGTTAGTATTCTGAATCTGAGGCATGCATGCCATCAGTGGCATCGTTTTTTAGAGAGAAAAAAGGAAGGAAATTTAAAGAACCCACTAGGCCACCATCAATGCAATCCAGAAGATTACTTGGCTACTTGTTCCAGAACAGAAACTTTCTTCCATGTTTCTCCCAACCCACTGATTGGCAATGGTGATAATGAAAACATGTTAATCGTGGAGCTTCCAGATCTAATTTCCTGCAAAACATGTAATGCTGATATGGTACTCTTCATATAAAGGCTCTCCTTATTCACAATCTCCGCCGGTTCCTTGGGTACCAACAGACAATCACCGCTCTTGAAAGAAGTTGAAGTTGTTGTTGAAAGATCGCACCCATCAGCTTGAGAAGCAGCATCAACCGAGGCAGGGGTATCATTCACTGGAAATAAACCATCCAGCATTGTTTCACATTCTTTTATAAGCTTGTAGAGCATCTCTGTAGTAAAGAAAGGCTGCTGCAAGACTTTTCGAATGAAAGGTAAGCGAATTAGGGCACCAGTTCTCTTGTCATACTTCTTCAGTATTTTCACAAGTCCTGTACGGCGGAAATTGAGAAAACAACTAGACACTTTGAGCAGTTAATAACTAGTAAATTTATGACTTATGGAACACAATCTCCGCTTATGCTTGAAAGATCAATTCAGGCTTATCACAGATTTGATCAAAAACCACTATTGTTTATAGTGGTAACAGAGAAACTTTGCACGGTAAAAAAGCAATTGAATATCTAAAAATTAGAAAAACTGCTGATATAGACATGAGCAAATAGAATTATATCAGTTAAATCAAATAACAATATTCTTGTTAAAATACTTCTCAAGTATTTTTCACAAGTCCTCTACAGAGCAGCTTATGGGAAGCATTAGACATTTTGAGCTGTTAATAACACGTAAATCTTATGAAACACAATCTACAATCATGCTTGAAAGTCCAACTTCAGGCTGATCACACAGACATATCCCCAGTAAAATCATTCGGTCTTTAAATAGTATTGCTTACAGCAATAACAGAGTAACTATGCACGGAGAATTATTGCTGGCACAGACATGAGCCAATAGAATTACATTAGTTAAATCAAATGATAAAATACTTGTTAAAGTATTGCCCTTTGATCATTTGTTACCACAGGCGTAAATCAAGCCAAATGATAAATTCGGTTTGTCGTCCAAGTACTAGAGCATTTTTAACAGAATCACCACTTTGGACCTGAAAGAGTAAAACTCATCTGTGCTAGTATTCCTATGAACTTTTAGACGATGTGACCCTTGTATGCCTTGAAACAGGAATATGGATCTCTCCTTAATAGAAAATTTAAGGACGTCCAATTCTTACGGGCCAAGTAAAATAGAATTTCAATCCACATGGATAAACATTTTCAGGTAGGGAATGAAGAAAGGCAGGTCTCTCAATATACCAAGTAGCTAGACTCTCTTAATGATTCTTGAATTAAAAACGAAAAACGCATAATCAGTGACAAGTTACAGTTTAGAGGTATCAAGTCTAACACTAGTTCACACTTCAAAAAGGCTTTTCCTTAACTAGTTTAAGATCGGTATACTGAAGGTACCTGTATAGTTAAGGGCACTGTAGTTTTCCAATAAAACCATTTCGCCATGGAAATCCACAATTTCCTTCCGTATTTTCATCATCTCTTCTTTTGAATTCTTTCCCTTGGCAACCCTATCTTGTAACTCCTGCATTTAAAGCATTACAGACATTGGCAGCGCCACAAATCCCCTACGTTTCTATAATCATAGGTGGAAAGTCCAAAGTACGCTTAAAATAGCGATTTGACGGAAAAATTAATTTAATCAGAATATCACACGGTTCCGGTCAGATTTGTGTGAAAAATTTCTAGAAAACCACATAGACGAGAGCATTCATTATTTTTTCTCGTTTAAACCTAACTGCCAAGCAAAGGGGGCGGGGGAAGACAATGAGGAGACTCGTACCTTCAATCTAATAATGCACTCTTCTTCTTTCTCAACAAAGAAGGTATTAAATTTGTCGAGTTCTCCCTCCAGCAAGTTCCTGAAGTCAATCTCCTCCGGCGAAGACTCACCGGAGGCGGCACCATCATCGAGCCTGGGCCGTTTGGACAGCCTGTCGTCGACGGAGGATTTGGGAGGCTCCAAGAGCTTCAACTTCTTCTTGAGTTCCTTGTAAGAGAGGAACTTGTCCCCCCACTCCGGTAGGGTTTTCTCGATCTGGTTGTTGAGACTCTTGCCGAATTTCATGTCTCGTCACCAGATTCCGGAAAAACTGAAACAACTCCCAAAAGAAAGACGTAAATATGGGAAAGAGGCGGGGCCAAAATTGTCAAACCAAAAAGGGTCCTTTATTCAATCAGGAGGAAGTGAGGGAAGAGCCAAAGGATTGATGAGAGAGTGAGGACCGGGAGGTGATATAACGGTAAAAGGGGAAGAATATTCGGAGGGTTTATTGAGGAAATATCCTTATGAATAGAGAGTATATTTCGGGTCATACTCCATCGACGTCGAGTCATGAGCCGAAATTTCTTGAGATATTATCAATATTTAAAAATAAATAATCAAACTTGGGTGTGTTGGCGAGCCGCGTCACCAACGATACGGTACATTTGTTCGTTGGTGGAAGCCGGCTGCTTCAGAGGGCATGCATCGCGATGTCTTTTTAGCTCTGCCTCCTATGCAGCTATACTTTATATATATATATATATATATATATATATATATATAATATTAAAAACAATATTTATTATTATAAATAATTGATTTAACTAATTTTTTTAATTTACTCAAATTAATCAACTAGCTTTTATATTAAAAATCAGAAGTATATATATTATTAATAATTTTATTCTTTCAAATTAAAATATATCATAAAATCTATTTTTTATGGAATTATCATATTAACTTATGCCTTTTTTAGTAATTTGTATATATAAAAAATGCTTCTGATGACAACTATCCAAACACTCTCACTTCTCATAATCACTTTTTCACAAAATCTATTCTTCACAAAATATATTCTTCAGAAGTTATTCTCCAAACCATGGTTTGGTTTTATCTAAACACCTCCTAAATCTTATATTAAAAGTCAGAAATAATATATTATAAATAATTGTAATTTACAATGGGGTAAAATTAAAAAAATATTAATTAATAATTCTCTAAATAACTTAGATTTGAGACCTTGCATTTTTTCTCTCCAAAGACTGCAAATTTATTCTAAAAGTTACCTTATAATATAAATAAAAGGATATATTTTTTCTTGCAAAGACTTGTATTCTTGTTATTTACAATATAGATCTGATTTAACTACGGTCGTAGACTAAAAATTATAATTAAACGAAAGTCACATCATTCAAGATGTGAAAATTTTCATATTTTAAAAATGGTACTACGTTCATTTAATTAAAGAAAAAGTGTTACTAGTAGCAAATTATAAATAATACGATTTATTTTAATTTTCATAAAAAATCTACCCTAATTCTGTAGTAGTATCAAATAATTCATAACAACGTCATTCAAAATAGGAAGATTTACAATAAGGTCTCAAAGAAAAAAAAATAATTACTTAAAAGTCTCAATAACAATCTAAACAGCATGTTATAAGTAGAAAATGACAACTTCCGCAACTTGTTTTGTGATTATTTTTCTTTCTTGGGATTTCATTGTAATTTTTCCTTAAAAATATTATACCTAATAAGGAAATATCTCATGACATGCTGCCAATATTACTATAACAAATTTTGACCCAAAATAATCACGCCAATATATCCCACCTCCAAAATTGGGAGGATTTGAAAGAAAAGGACAATATTTTGTCATGTTGTGATCATTATACCCATATTTATTTTTAATATCCCTATACTATCATAAATCCTTTTCTTTTTGTCTCCAGACGTTGTTCTCTCCTTTACATGATCAAATATTTCATTCAACGATGGGATACAGTACAAGTTGTGGCTGAATATTTCCTCAGCCTTCTTTTCAATAATACTTTACACTCTAGAGTATATTAGAATTTTAGTATAAATATTTGTTAATGTATTAAATGTTATTTACAATTCTATTTTATTAAACATTCTATAAAATTTGAAAAAATAATTTTAAATAAAATAAGGGTAAAATTGTCCATGTCAAAATATATTTCCCTCCCTTCCCCTTATGAACCAGACAAGATAATATTAAAACTCCTCCCCTTCCTTCTTTTTATAAATCAAATAACATAATATTAAAATTCTTCCACTCTCCTTCCCTTTCATTCTTCCCATTAAAATCCCTTCCCTTCTTTTTTCTCATTTAGCCAAACAAAGCTAGGGAGAAAAAGAAGACCATGAAGGAAGGAAGGAATTTTCTGCAACCTAGGTAGGAAAGAGGAAGACGATGAAGTGGAGGGTGATGTGGATGATGAGGTGGTGTCCATGTGGCTGCCACATAAGTAATTTGGTCAAAATTAACAATTAAAATTAATTGGAGTAATGGTGAGGGTGATATTGCTTCGTTTTTTGAATTTTTTAAACCTTAAAAAACTTCTGAAGACGTATACCTGTAGCTTCTCACCGTGTACTTTCAGTGTACATTTACACATTATCCCTTTGGCATGCCCTACACATGCTATAGTAATTCGATCATTTGATTTTGATCAAACATTCACTATTCCTTTTTCATTTTTATAAATAATAAATTCCAACTTTTTTCATTTGTACTCTTTATTCTTCAGGGTTCGGTCTTGACACGCGACCAAGCCTCAAGATTGATTCCTTTGACCTTCAATTTTTTGTGTTATATATATATATATATATATATATATTTCTGTGTGTACTTCCCCGTAGCACGTTATCTTTATTCCTAAATATAGACGTGAGTGGATTAAAGAAGTTTGTTAAGTCATTTATTTATAATAAATAGAAGTCATTTTCTCCAGAATACCATTCCTAATAATGTGTATTAGTTAGAACTATCATGATTGAATCTTTAACACGTGTGACTACTTTTTTTTTTTTTTTTTGATATACAAGGAGGGAGTATGTCATGTTTTTTTCCTAGACACAAATATTCTTTTATTAAAGACAATATTATTCAAAGCACTATTGGACACTGATTGCAAACACCTCTCTTAATAGGATTTGAATCTTGATTCATTATATTATGAAGAACTAGCCTTTTCTGTTAGACTCAACTCATTGATTGGGAATATGTTATTGACTTTGTCCTTCTTGGTCTCTGCCAAGTAAATGATTCTTTTTATATCTTGTGGGCCAAAAGAAAAATCTTTTAATTTCTCGACCCTTTTTTTGGACCAACACTATATTTCTTTGAGAATTTATGCTGCTTTCTGGTCCTTAGATAATTGGGCCCATGTGAACCTCATCACCTTGGGACTTGCTCTTTCTGGTCATTAGTTTTCATTTTTTGGGGCCCAAAACCATTAACTTCAAATGCACACCCTTGAAGCATCACATTTAGAAAATAGCAAGGAGGATTTATCTTAGGCCATTTTTGGTAAGCAACACTGAATTTTAATAGATTGGGATTGGGATTGAGAGCAATATAAGGCGATATGTTTATATTAATTTTATTTTACAATTAATCATAAGTTATACAAAGACTTATATACGCTTACAATGAGTATAAATAAGAGTTTGTAAAAATATTACCTCTAGTCCTAATTATAAGACATGATTTATAATGTATTATATATATAGATAATTTGGTAAAAATAATGTACAATCTCATGAATGATTTTTAATGCCACAGGAAGAGGTGGTATGGTGTAATTCCATCTAGGTGGTATTGCACAATCCCAAGTATCTTTCAATGCCTCGTATCAGAGATATTAAAATGAGTTGTGCTAATGCCAATGCTAACTCCAATCCCCTAATATTTCAGACCAAACAGAGCCTTAGAATTCTTTTAGTTTCATTTAATGTTGAATAAGGTCTCTGACCTCTCCTCCCCCAACCAAAAAAAAAAACCTGAATCAAAGCAATGCCTGAGCAGAGATTCGTATTTTTCTAATGAGAAAAGATATTGAATACAAAAAAATAATATAAAAAGAAAATGGTTTTAAATAGTTTTTTTTTTAAAGATAATTGGTTTTAAATTAAACGGAAGAAAAAATAAAGTAAGGACAGCCCAAATCTATCTATTAATATATAAAAGTAGAATACAAGGTATGAGTAACTGACAGCATAACACGTGGCATCATCAATGATAAAATAAATGTTTTTTTCTTTTCTTTAAAAAAAAAAAAGGCCACACCCCATGTTTTGGATCATGCACTATGAAATGTGGGTGGATAGTTTCATTATAAATGTGGACACGATTTATAAAACCGCTTATGCATGACAGGAAAGGGGAAAAAAAAAGATCCCATGTTTCAGATTTATTTTTAATTTATGATTACAAGTAATTTTGAATATGTGTAGTTTTCTAAATAAATGCTAGCTAATAAATTAAAATATCATCCGTTTTAGGGGTGAATGTGGACAGTTTTTTGACCAAAACATGTTTGCATTATGCCACATGACAGGCTTTTCTAAAAAATAAATATACTGAATTTTTATATGCAAAAAATATGCAGATATCATGTTACAAATTTATTTTTAATTTCCTAATTTCAAGTAATTTTGAACGTGAGCTATTTCTTCAATATATGGTGGCTGTTAAATTAAAAAAAATTATCTCTTTTAAGTTTGAACATGGGCATTTCTTTTTTAATTATACTTAAGTGAAGTAATATTTTTTTATTTAGTTAGGATCATTAATTCCAAAAAAAGTGCTGTTGGTGAAATTGCATGCTAACAACATGCCACGTGACACACTGCCATCATAGATAAATAAGAAATTTTTTTTAATAAAGTTGAAAATTTGAAGGAATCTCTGTGTTTGTGACTTTTGATCACACCCCATGTTTTTGTGCCATATTTCAAGGCTTTGTTTTGGGCAGTTTTCTCATTTTAAGTTAATATTTTATATTTTAAATTAATTTAATTAATATATTAAATTTTGAATTAAAACTAATATTTCATTAAAAAGCAACAATTGGTTACTCTTTGGGTTCAAATTAATATTTTAGATTTTAAATTACATTTAATAATCTTTCAAATAATAAATTAAAATTAATATTTCATAAAAACATACATATTTCTAAAATAAATATTAGTGCCATGTTTCAGGGTGTGCCTGGTTACTATATAAAAGTAAAGTACAAGGCAGGACTTACTTAGAGACTGCCAAGTGGCCTCACCAAGATACAAATAAATAAATCTCTCTCTCTTTTCTTTTTTTTGTAAAAACGGAAATTTTATGCACACCTCCCCTATTTACGCGTTGCTTACCCTATCATGATAAAT